CCCCCCCCCCCCCCCCCCCCTCTCTTCCCCCTCGTGGAGGAGGTGCTGACATGTTCCTTCTGGTGAAATAATCGCCACCCGACTCAGATCGAGAACTTGCTCGGCAGCTCTGAGCGCGACAGCATCATGTGCGTGCCGCCAAGCTCACTGCCCTCCACCCTGCCGTACCTCGCCCACTGATTGCCTCTTCCCCGGCTCGCACAGCAAAATGGCCCTCAACTCCCCGGGGTCCATGTCCTTCTACCCGAATGAGATGAGCGTCTTCACCCACCCGAAGGTCGCCGACACGGACCGCCTGCTCGATCACTTCGGCACGGGCACCGACAGCAGTCCCACCCTGCCATCGGACATCTTCTGCGCGGTTGGTGCGTTTCTCCTGTTTGGCGGTCCCTCCTCGCCGTCGGCCCCGGCTCACCCTGTCATTCGGCTGCCCACGATGCCCAGCCACCATCGCACTGGCTGGCTTCCTGCAGGAGCACTTGAACGCCAACCGCAAGTCAACTGTCGAGGTGACCATTGTCCACACCGAGGCCGAGCTGCCCCTCTTGGAGATGGCCATCCAGGTGGCCGGGACCCGGCCGGCTTTGGCGCTCCTTCCCCTGGAGACCTATGTGCAGGAGCGTCTCGGCCTGTCGACGGATGTGATTGCCAGGCTGCCGGACGGCAGCAAGACGCTGCCCGCCTCCAAGACCGGGGCCGATCCCATCATCTATTATCCACCCTACTGGTCGCCCGGGCAGCTGGACCAGTTTGCCGGCTTTACCGCCACGTACGCATGCCGCCGGACTCGCTTGCATGTCCTCTCCCCCCTCGCCCCTGCGAGTGCCTTGACTAACATGCCAGCCCATTCGGGCGCTCCCCCCCCCTCCACATCAGCGGTACTCTCTCCGTGTCGGCCAATCGATCGCGTTCGGTGGCCACGGTGGACCTCTCAGCGCGAGACTACGAGCGCCTGCGCCACCTGTCCATCGCCCCGTCGGCCGGGCAGCGCGAAATCCTCGCCCGGATGCCGGTGGGCTTGGTGCGCACCGGGGCCGAAAGTTTGGCCTCTGATCTGACAGTTTCCTCGGCCGAGCGCGCCGGCAGTGACGCCCCCCCGCGCGAGGGTGAGAATGATGAGGATGTCGCCGTTGACGAGATTGAAAGTGACTCCTCGCACATGCGCTTCCTCATCGTCGGCATGGACTTCCGCAATCGCGCTCGTGCGTTGGCCATCGGTCTTTCCCTTGTGGCCCACTTGACTCCTTCGCATTCCTGCTCTCCCCCCCCCCCCCCCCCCCCCTCCTCGCCGCCTCTCATGCACTGACCCTCGTATCATCGGCCTGCTGATGCCCCTGGTTTCATCGTCCTGCTCGCCTTCTGATCCGCACCACAGTCCATGGTGACCGCGTCATCATCGCCCCCCTTCCCCGGGCCGAGTGGCTGGAGCTGGAGCAGGTCGCCTGTCCTCGGCTTCGCGGGTACCTGACCCGGTACCGGGGCCTGCCGCAGGCACGCGTGGTTGGCATTGCCGCTCGTAGCCGGGTCCCCCTGACCGCGGTGCTGAAGCCGGCATCCGGCAGCTTCGGCCACGAGGTCCACCTCGGGACAAAGGTCTTCCAGGCGGTGCCGGCCGACCGGCGCCTACCGGTCATGAATGTCTGCTTGGCCGGGGCCCGGGCCACGCGACTGCTCGAAGCCCCGGGCGGGCATCGGTTTGTCCTGACAGTCAGCTCCTGGCCGGTGACTTCGCGCTTGCCGAATGCCCTCTTCGTTCGGGAGCTCGGGCCATCGCACACCAAATCCTCGCGCCTGCTGGCCCTGCTGACCGAGTATGGGCTGTTGCATGAATCGCACTTCGAGGCCCTGGCCAGCCTCGGCTCCGAGGAGGACATGTATGGCCCACTGCGAGACATCGCCCAGCTGCTGGGTAGCCAGTCGAGCGTGCACGATCGCGACGTCCTGCATGCGGATGGTCGCCTGGCCCTCAGCTCGGACATTGGCGATTCCTTCGGGTGCGCCCAGCGGTGGGACATGACCTCCCTGCTGGACCCCTTCTGCATTGACCCGCCTGGGTGCACGGACATCGATGATTCGCTGTCGGTGCGCCTGGTGACCGCCATTCCGCGGGTGTCTTGCCAGCCGGTCGCCGGCCGGCCGGATTCGGAGCAGATCCTGTATGCCGGGCCGCTGGGCGAGTTGGTGCCCACCTATGCCGGGTCCGTCCCGGAGGTGACGCGCTGGAGCGACGCCGAGGGAGCCAATGTGCGCGGTCTGCACACGGACCAACGAGAGGGGCTGCTGGTGGAGATGGGCGTGCACATTTCCGACGTCACTTCCATGATCCTGTCCGACTCGCCGCTGGATCTCCATGCGCGGATTCGGTATGCTGTTTGTTTCTTCTTTTTTTTTCTCGCGCTCTCCACCAGTGTCTGCCATTTGCCAAGGCCTTTTGCAGGGATCTTGCTTGGCCCACAGTGCCCGGTGTCCGTGGCGGCATGACCCCCTGTCACAAACGCTAACACAGCAGCTCGCTCCCTTCCCCCTCCTCCTCCTCCTCCTCCTTCTCTCCCTCCCCCACCCCTATGTGGCTGTGCCGCTTTGACAGGACCGCCACCATCTACTTCCAGGACTTCAGCCTGCCAATGTTGCCGCGAGTCCTGTCGTCGGGGTTGCTGTCGCAACTGCCCGGCCAAACCCGACCGGCCTTTTCCAGCTTCTTCTACTTCCGCCTGCAGGATTTGGCCCCCCTGCGGCGTGACCCCCCCCGGGCGGGGGAGCTGCTGCCAGTTCTGCGGCCCGTGGCCGTGCGCTTTGCCCGGACGCGCATCGCCTCGCGCATGTCCTTCTCTTACGGCGAGGCACAGCAGGTGGTCAGCCAGTACTTCGCACGGGCTGATCCCAAGGCCATCGCGGTGCAGCCGGACGATCGGACGTACCTGCCAGCGGACAGGCCCTTCCGGCCGGCCGAACGCCTGGCTCCCCCGGCCGGGGTGGCCCCCGGAGACACGCGCCCGGAGCAGCGCACCTCCGTCCTAAATGCCCTGCTTCTGATGATGCGCCTATACCGGCAGTTGAGTGCCACTCGGGCGCGGCTTGGTGGTCTGCAGCTGTCGGCCATCCCACTCAAGTTCGAGGTCAAGTCGCGCGCGGCCATGGCCGACATGCTGTCCGACGAGACGTCCCTCGATGGGGTGAGTCAGGAGTCGGAAAATGAGCTGGAGCGCCTGATTGCCGAGTTCATGATCTTCACCAATTGCCAGGTGGCCGAGTACATCTCCGGGGCCTTTGCTCGTATGGGCGGTCGCATGGGCGGGTCCCTGGTTCGTGTGCATCGGTTCCAAACGCAAACCGAGAATGCCGGCCTGGCGGCCGCCCTACGCGCCCTTGGTTACGACATCGATGGTCGCACGGCTACGGCCTTCTCCTTCATGTTCACCGATCTGCAGCAACGCCTCCGGGACAGTCACCAGGAAGATGCCCCGAGTATCCTGGCCGTCCTGGGCCAGCTGGCCCTCACGCGCTTCCTGCCCGCTGAGTATGTGGATTCCAGTGCGCCGGAGTTCTCGGCCGCGGCGGCTGGCAAGAAAAAGCGCCCGGACGGCGAGGAGGATCCGCTCGGGCCGTTTGGGCATTTTGGCCTGGGTGTTCGCATGTATACCCACTTCACGTGCGTGTGCCGCGGTGGCCCTCTGTCCTCCGTTCTCCCGCCCGCCCGCCCGCCCGCCCCGCTCCTCTCCTCCTGCCCCTTGCCCCGACAGCGCCCTTGTCAGCATCAGTCGCAGGATGGTCTCTATGCTGCTATTGGGGCGACGGTGACGCTCTGCGCCATATCGTGCCCTCCCGCTGTTCCTCCCTTTCCTTGCCACTCACACCATTTTGCACGCCCGACCACAGTGCCCCCATCCGCCGGTACCCGGACATCATTGTTCACCGGCAACTACTGGCGGCAATGGTCATCTCTGCAGGCAGCCTGGCCGCGGGGATCCCCCCGGCCGAGCCTCTGCCCGAGTCCCTGGCCGTCGGGTTGTTGGAGCGCGAGCCCCTCTTGCGTGAATGCCTGTCTTCCTCGCGGCAGGTCCGCTTCACTGAGCCTGCGCCGGATGCCACTGGGCCTACCGAGGAGGCTGATGGCATTGTCAAGGCCAGCACTGGCGTGACCAAGTCCGGCCCTGAGGCTGTGGTCGCCTTCGGGTCGAATCAGCTGCACCTTTTTGCGCAGTTCCTCAACGAGAAGTCCAAGGCCATCAAGTATGCCGGTTTCGAATCCCGGCGTCTCGAGATGGCCCTCTTCCTGCAGGACCTGGTGCGTGTTTTCCTGTCCTCCCACCGCTGGCGGCGTGTCGCCGGTCTGTGGCTTTGGTGTCTGACTCTTGTAAATCCCCCCCTTTCCCCGTACCCCCCCCCCCTCCCCCAGCTTAAGCGCTACGGGCGCATCGTCTTGCCGGCGGTCATTTCGCGTTTTGTCGCCAACGACGACACCGACTCCCCGGCCCTCAATCACATCCAGCTGTCCATCCCGTCGCTGGGCATCAGCGACCGTCTGTCCCTGCCGCTGGTGGATGGAGTCCCGTCGGTGGTTTTGGGGCCAGGCGGGGCCGGTGCGCGGCCCCTGTCGGAATGGGTTCTGTCGGCCGACACCGCGCGGCTCGCTCCTCGGGACCCGGGCGCTGGGCGCGGCCTCCAGGTGCTAGACTGGGTGCTGGTCAGTGTGGGGTTCTCGGCGCGCGAGACGGCCGGCGGCTCCCCGGCTGCCAAGGGCCTGGATGCTCCTCAGCGCCCGACCGGCGAGGAGGGTGCCCTGGTCGAGGTGGACCTCGGGTCGGTGGTCCGGCCGGTTCCTCGGCCCTACTTTACTCTGGTTGGCCGGTTGGATGACGCTTCGCGCAGCCTGATTTCCCGGGTGCCCGAGCTCGGCCAGACCAGCGACCTCGCCACCGTCCAGCGGGTGTGTGGTGCGCGCGTGGCCGACAAGGCCGAAGCCGCCCCGCCGGCGCCGGCCGGCCTGCCAGGTCCGGCGGTTGTGGTCCAGGCGCCGTTGGCATCCGACCGTCCGACCCTCTCGCGGACCAAGCGTCGGAAGGAGGCTGCCCTGTCGAGTGCGGCCAGCAACTCGGTGTATGCCACTTTGCGCCAATTGCATCAGGCCCTCGACCAGACCCGGGTCTTCCACTCGGCTTTCGCTGCCCCGGGGCTGTCACAGACGGCCCTGCCGTCCGAAGCCCAGGTTGAGGAGGAAGCCCCCGAGCCTGCGGACGGCTGAGATCTGTGCCGGTGTGTGTGTGTGTGTGTGTCTGTACATACACCTCCATGCTCCCGTTCTCCCTTCCCGTCTTTCTTGCTCAAAGCGTCGTGCCGAAGTGTGTGCCCGAAGAGAGACAGGCCCAAAGGCAGCCTTTCTCCCAGCTGGCCGCCTCTCTCATGGCGTGCTGCCGGAAAAGCAATACAGAGTTAAGAGATGTCTTCCGGTTAATCACCCCCTATTCACATGATTTCGCGCATCGAGGGATCGTGGCCGGGCTTGGTGCAATCGAGAAGCGCCTGGACCGGGGAAAAGGGGCAGGAGGGGGGGGGGCGGGTGCGGGACGGGCCCGGTCGGCAATCCTCCGGTTGCCCAGTTCCGCTGTCTACGTGTATGTCCGTGTGCGTGTGTGTGTGTGTGTGTGTGTGTGTGTGTGCGCGCGTGGCGGTGATGGGATGTGGGGACATTAAAGCGTGGCTGGAGTGTCGCCATCCGGCCGCGCGGCCGATGGCACTCCCTCTCTTCCACTTGCCTCTCCTGTGTGCCTTCTCGCGGTGGTTCCCCCTCCTCTACTCCTCTGCTGTCTTGCTCCCCCTTCTCGATCGGCCGATTGCCTTCCCCGCCATTTGCGCCACGTGCACGCGTGTCAACACGCTCATACCCACACACTCGGGGCTTCGCATTCAGCGACTCGATCCATCTCATCCAGGGACTTGAGCCATCTCACCCAGGGCTTTGAAGCATCTCGTCCATGGACTACGAGGATCTGCTCAAGGAGCAGGAGAAGTTCCTGCAATCGGGCAAGGCACCGGCTGCCCGTGTGAGCCGGGCCCCGTTGCCGGTGGTTTCAAGCTTCCAGCCGGCGGTGGCCGGGACTCCTGCAACCGTCGCTCCTGCCACGGTCACCATCCGCAAGGATGTCCCGAGTGCCAGCTTCTTGGACACCATGTCCGACCTGAGCTCAGCCCTGATTTCGGACCCCGCTCCGACAACACCAGGCCCGGTCTCCTCGCCGGCGGCGCCGAGTCCGGCCTCTGCCCCGGTGACCTCGGCCCTTGCTCCGGCAGATGGCGCACCGGCGAATGCCCCTGCCGCCCAGGCTGAGCCCACCCGACGCAAGCCGTCGCTGTGCGTATCCCCCCCCTCCCTCCCTCCTCCCACACGCGCGCGCCTCCGCCCATCATCCTTCTTTCTCCCTCTTTCCTTTTTCATTTCTCCTTGTGTCCCGGGTGCGCTGACATGTGAGCAGCTTTCAGCAGAGGCGCGCGGAGTCAGCCCAGCGGCCGGCCATGCCGCAGTTCGTCCCGCCGGCCGGCCAGACCAGCGGCCCCACCAAGCCCTCCGGGGCTGGCCCCTCCTTCGACGTGAAGGGCCGAACTCCCATGATGGTTGGGCAAATCCGAGAGCGCTGGCCGGGTGGGCCGACTGCCGGGCCAGCGGCTCCCGGGCCGAAGTTTGCCCCCCCGGCGGCTCCATCCGGCGCGGCATTCCCCCGCGCCCTGCATCGGAGCGAGCTGAACCTGTCGCGCCGGGCACGCGCCCCGGGCCCCAAGTCGCCTGCTCGGCCGGGCGGCGACACCGCCCCCGGTGGCCAGGCGGATCTCTCGCACTCGGTTCAGCGTGCGGCCCCGGGCGAGTGGGAGTTTGATGAGCTGCAGAAGATCAATCGAGAGAATGTTGACGTGCTGGCCGGCATGAGCGAGGAGGAAATCCTCCAAGCCCAGCAGGCCCTGCGTCAATCGCTCTCGCCTTCCTTCTTGGCATTTTTGGAAAACCAACACCAGGCGTCTCAGGAGGTGGCCACGGCCCCGGGCCAGGTCGCTGCCAATGCCGATGGCGGTCCATCAGCCGCTGTGTTGGGTGCTGCTCCCGCGGCCATGCGCCGGACCCGAGATGCCTTCAGCCGGTCGGCCGATGCCAGGGCCGCAGGCCCGACGGCCCGGTCCCCAAGCCCGACGGCCCGGTCCCCAAGCCCGAGCGCCAGTCCCTCGACCACCGTGACCACGGTGGATCCCCTGCGCGAACGCCTGGCCGGGGTGCTGGACGAGCTGATCCCCGATCGGCGGACTTTCTTCTCCGACGACATGATCGAGGTGGACAAGCTGGCGTGGCTGCTACCGCGCGATGTCGGCCCGGATGCGGAGGCGGCGCGCGAGCGGGCGTCCGCCGAGGACGAGCTGGCCGCCGAGCTGGGGCCCTTCCTGGCGTCCGAGCTGGTGGCCAAGCGAGTCCGCTTCGACTTCGAGGGGCTGATCCAGCCGGCCGCCGGGGCGTCGGCCGCGCCGGACCGATCGCTCTTCCATCATGCTGACCCAACCGGCGCGGCTGGCTACACCCTCGACGAGCTGGTTTTGCTGCTGCAAAGCCGGCACTCGGCGCAGAGGGTCCTGTCGCTGGGCGCCCTGCGGCGGGTGATCCAGCGACTGAAGGCCGGCCGGGACCTGGGCCCGGGGCTGGCGGCGCCGTCGGGCCCCGGGGCGGCCCTGGGCCAGTACTTCGCCCTGCAGGCCAGCCTCTTCGGCTGGTTGCTGAATGAGACGCGCTTTGTGGACCTCCTGGTGGGGGCCCTGGCCGATCGGAATGTGTCGGTTCAGGCGGCGGCGGCCCGGTGCCTCGGGGCGCTGGTGGCCTGCCCGGCCGAGGGGCGCCTGTTGCAGGTGGCTGCGCTGGCGGATCCGCTGCCGGCCGGGGCGCTCTTCTTCCTGAGTCCCCGGCCGGCGCCCGGGTCCCAGGGGGAGGATGTGCCGGAGGCTGGCGAGCCGGCGGCCGATGCCCAGGCCCGGCGCGAGTCGGCCGCTCGTGGAGACCTGGTGGTCGCCCTGATGCAGGCCGGCCTGGCCGAGGCATTGGGGTACTGCCTGGCCGGGGCCGGGCGGGCGGCCCTGCTGACCGCGCCGGCTGCCCTGGCCGATCTCCTTCGGGCAACGGCGCGCGTGGCCCGGCATGATGCCGAAGCCACGGCCGCCCTCCTGGGCTCGGGCTCGGGGCTGATTGCCGGGCTGGTGGGCTTGCTTCGGTCGGCTCGGACGGCCATCTCCAGCCCGGAGGGTTTCCTGTCGGTAGCCACCGAGGCGCTGGGTTTGCTGGAGTGCCTGCTGTCCACCGACCGGGACTTGGCCCAGACGGCCGTCGAGGCCGGTCTATTGGAGGCCCTGCCGCAGCTGCTGCTGTACCGGCTCCGAGGCCCGGGGTCGGCCCCGTTGGCGGCCGCCCTGGTGGCACATGCCCCGGAGGAGGCTTTACGCATGGGGCTCGCACACCTGGACCTGCTGGATCTGCACACCCGGGCCCTGGCCGTGTGGGGGGTGCTCCTGTGCTTTGGATTTGGGTATGACCTGCTGCCGGCGGTGCAGCCACTGGCGCAGGAGGCTCTGGCTGGCCAGGCCGGCTTGGACCTGCTGGCCGGCGCGGTGGCCTGGCCGGGCCCGGAGGGCCAGGCGGCTGCATCGGCCGCGGATGGCCCTGGCCCGCGCTTGCTCGCGCGTCTGGCCCAGCATGAGGATGCTCGGGTGATGGCTCTGCTCCGGTGCCTGAGCTCGCTGGTGGCGCTGATCCCGCTGCGTAGTGCCGAGCTCCGGGCCGGTGGTGGCTCGGACCCTGATGCCGGGGATGACAATCCCGCCCTCATCGATGGGCGCACTTGGTCGCTGGTGATGGTGCACTTTGCCGCGTGCAATGCCTGGCTCGAGCGTTGCACGGCCTGGTTGCGGGAGCGCGCGGATGCCGGGGCCCCGGCTCCGGCCACCACCGACCTCGGCACCCTTGGCCTGGATGATGCGCTTGACGTGGCCGCGTCGACCGGCCCGATGGCGGGATGCAGCTCGCCGACCGCCCAGCCGCCCGGGGCCCCGCTGTATGAGGATGCCTGGCCGCTGTGGCGTGCGGCTCGAGCGGTGGGCTTCCTGGCCGCCTGTGTGGAGGTGACTCACCGGCATCCGTTCTTCGATTCGGACTTCGTGCGCGTCGACCTGGCCAGCATCTTCGAGTCGGTGGCCGGGACCGGGCGCCAGGCATTGCGCTTTGCGGTGTCCTGCGCGGCCGGGGCCCCGGCCGGCGAGGATCTGGTGCGGGCCTCTGCCGGGCCGCTGCTGGCCCCATCCACCGGTCTGGCCGACGATCAGCCGGCCCTGCCGGCATTGGCGCTCGGGTTTGCCCCGCTGGCCGGGCTGTACCGGGCGGATGGGCTGGCTGTGGGCTGGCATGTTTTGGGCCAGGCAGCCATGCTGGGCCTGCTGGCCGGGGTGCTTCACTGTCTCGGGGCCCTGGGTCGGGCGCTGCCCTCCCTGGCCGGGGATCTGGCCGGGCTGGTGGCCTCGCCGCTGGCCCAGCGAGGCATCTGGTGGTCCCTCTGTCGGGCGGCCGATGTGGCCGGGGCTGGGGCCTACCTTCCGGCCGGGGGCCCGGTTCGCGGGGACCGCTTGCGGCAAGTGGCTCGTCTGCGTGGCGGTCGCCTGGTGCAGCGCCTGGACCATGGGGCCGCGCATGCGGTTGCCGCCTGGTTCCGGGCTCTGAGTGCGGCCGGGTGCTGGCAGGCACTGCCTGGGGTGGCCCGGCGTCTGGTGGCGGCGGCGGCTCTGGCCGGCGTGTCGCTGTCGGCCCCGGGCGATGAGGGGGCCGTCGATGTGGCGCTGCATGTGCTTGCCGGCGGGGGCCTGCCCACGGGCCTGGGCCAGTCGCCGTACACCGGGGACGAGGGCCAGGAGGAGGGGGTGGCACGCGCGGCGCGCGAGGGCTCCGGCCTCGGCACCCAATCGGAGCTCCTGCCGGCGCTCTTTGCGGCGGACGGCTCGGCGCCGGTTCCTCCGCGGCAGGTGGTCACCCTGTTGGGGACCCTGCCGCAACGGGTGCTGCCCTTCTGGCGGCATGATCTCCTGGCGCCGGGGCTGCTCCAGTGGGCCGGGGCCCTGCGCGGGGGCATCCTGCCGGCGGCCAGTGGCCCCCAGTCGGCCGATGACCCGCATGCGGCCACCGGTCCCCGGGGATTGGTGCTGATGCTGACGGACTCGCACCTGCCGCCGGGGTCGGCGCGGGCTTCTGCCGCCGGCGGCCGTGGGTCGTCCACCGCCGGGAGTCCCTTCTGGCTGTTGCCGGGGGCGGCGATGCGCCACGCCCCGGCCGAGGCCCTGGCCGCGGTCTTCACCCTGGCTCAAAAGGGGGCCGTGGCGCACCTGGCCCGCGGGCGATCGGGTCTGCTGGACCGTGGTGCCCTGCTGGCGGCTCTGCTGGTGGCCACGACGGCCGGCACGACGGCCAGCGGCGACCCGGATGCGCGGGCCTCGCTGGGCTTCGTGGACCGGCTGCTTGGTTGGGCCCTGTGCCCGGGGGCTTGGCCCGCCGGGGCCGCCCTGCCCGGGCGACTGCGGACGCACCAGGGAGCCGCCCTCGGTGATGCCCTGCTGGAGGCCTTCCTGGCGGATTCCTTCGGTGCCGGGGTGGCTGGCCGGTTGCTGGCCCTGGCGGCGCTGCATCGTGGCGCGCCGGCTGCGCTGGAGGTGCGCTTCTGGCGCGATCTCCGGGACTTGGTCGGCGCGCTGGGGGCAGCCACCAGCCCGGTCGAGGAGGCGGTCCCCCTGCCGGCCGGCTGGGCGGGCTACGCGCCGCATGCCGACCAGGCCGAGGCCGAGGGTGCCTTCGGCCGGGCCACCGCCACCCCGGAGGCCGATACCTCGCGTCGCTTGCACCTGGAGGTGTGCCGGCTGGTGCTGGCGGCCCTGTGTAGTCGGGACCCCCGGCGCCGGGTGGCCCCGCGCGCGGCGCCCTTCCTGGCTTGGGTGGCCCTGGGCCGGATCCGGCGGACCCTGCTGGCTGGGCGGACCTTCCTGGCGGAAACGTCCCCGGCGGCCGGGCGCGCCATCTCCCTGGAGCTGGCCCAGGTGTGCGTGCATCTGGCCGCCACCCGGGCCGACGAGGCCGAGGACGGTGCCAGCCTGCTGGACCTGCTGCTGTGTCTGCCCGAGTCGCCGGTGTCCTGGCCGACGGGGCCCTCTCCCGCGGACGCCCCGCTGCTGATGTGGCTGGTTGAAGGGCTACTTGGGGGGCTGCTGTCCGATGGGGCCTTTGCCGAGCACCCAGACCGGCCAGCGGTGGCGGCGCTGCATGGACGCCTGGCCGCCCGGCTTGCCTAGGGCGTGTGCTCCGCACCCGGCGGC